CGTTGCAGAAAATTTGGTGGAAGACCAAAAGATTCCGGTACAGGGACTCGAACCCTGGTATCCTGCGTGAGAGGCAAGTATGCTAACCACCTACATCATACCGGACWCACGTGTRTCACKTGTCATCGTAATATTGTATATCATTCTAATATTGTATATCAATAATGGCCTACAATTAACGGACTTTTAGACCATACCGTAGTACCGTACGGTACAGGCCTTTTCTATTCTATCTATTGGACGAAGTACGAGTTACGAGTACATGTACAATTATGTCCTCGTACCGTTCGTGCGCACGTACCTCATTCTTTCTKCGGGACTGTGGAACAGAGGGATGATGTCATTATGACGAGGTGGTGATCTGCCAAGCAGAACTTGTTCACTACCTCCGCTACACCAGATAAAGAGCTCTCAATTAAAGGAGTTTGCGTCTGCGCAACAGATGCCTTGGGGTTTGATACTGGTAGAGAAAATCCAGATAAATATTGAGAAGAATGCGAAGAACATGAGGTGATGGAATGAATAATCCTTTAAATTACTCACACAGAATACATCATAGAGACAGACCTTCATTAACGGTCACACTACCGGTAGGTAATATGTTCAAGGCATGATATCGTACGCGTTGGAACGGAATCGAAACCATACGGTAGTTGACTGATTTTTCACTCATCGGGCCCGCGTTTTGAACGGTATCCTTTGAATCTCAAGATGAACTAAATTCGTCTCTCTCTCCACGCTTGACTCCTCTTCTCGATTCGACTTTTTTGTCTCATTAGACCGGATCCTGGGACGACGGCTAATCGTGTTGCCGTTCGTTCTCATCTCTCAAGCAATACCATACCATGTCATGTCATGCTATGCTATAATCCGAATCAACCGAAACGAGATGAAAGATGTAATCAACTGAACGAACGGCTATCCTTGCGGAATTGATTGGAAAGGTAAACCAAAATAATCAGAAGAAACCCCCTGCTACAGCATTAACGGCAGGGATTAAAACCAGCACAACAAGAATAATCACCAATATTACACAATCGAAGCTATCATCGATGCAATAGCCCGATCTCCGTACCACAGTCTGACTCCATCAAGACTTTCGTCGTATACAGCCGTATCATTCCACAGGATATCGACGTCTCGCGCCCTAAGCAAAGAAAACAAGAAATCGGAATTTGCATGAGATACCACCAGAAACGACACGTGACAATGAAYGATGTATACCCAATAACCCGTCCCCGACTACAACCAATACACACACAACGTCCCTAACCCCCCACCCCCGAACTTGTACATACTGTACACCACATTTTCTACCAACTCTTATCCAAAATCCTCGGACGCGTCCGTTTCAAGCACAAAAGAAAGCCAAGATCTACTCTTACTATCATCATTGCCAGCTTGCTTTTGATTGCTTGACTGCCTGGACCAAAACAGAACTGCTACCTATCTACACWACTTCGAAGATCGAAAGAGGAGCGAAGTACCCGCTTCCTGTACATACCTGCCTTAATAGACTCTTCTTTCGTCACTGGCGACACTCTATGTATCCACCCGATCAGTCGATGACGGCCAGCGCTGCTTCTTTTTGCCCCCGCAATTTGAATTACGCCACCTCGACTCACTTCATTACATTCCACCCGAATGCTTTTTCTTTAATCCAAATGGAAAATAATCTGTACATACCAAGCTCGCCAAGTGGGTCGGGCCGGGTCAAGACTGGACCTGGCCCTATCCGAACATTTCCATTTGTTTCATTACCTTACTTTCTTTCCTCTGCACCTCTCCACAGCATTCCTGTTGCCAGTGGGAAAACACCGAGATGTTGGAAATCCTGATCTATTCGTCAAATCGACTGATTTGATTCAATTGATCTTATCCCTGCCGGTTTGTAATTTTTCGACCCACCAACAGACCAGGGATTCTGCGACAACGACAGATATGGCACAACACACAACACGAAATGACGCAAACCTTGCGACCCACAAGAACACAGCTATATTCTGCCAACAGCGAAGAAAGACAGTCATGCACACACACACATTACTTGTACAAACATGTACACACAGACGCTCACGAGGTTGTTTACAAATACTGCCCAACTCATTGCACATAAGGGACAGCACAGCACAACCGACGTCACATTGTATTATAAATGCACTGACTGTTACCGACTCCTTGTCACACTCTATTACTTTTTTGATACGAATGCTAACTAATAAGTTAGACACAAACGATAGTATTTCAAAGCATCGGAAAAAAAATTGAAAGTGCATCTTTGCATCACAGGAATGTCGTTATGATTCGATCCATCAAATTCAACGGAATGTCGTCCCTATCGAGTTCCGTTACAGTGTGTTCGGCCCAATCCTCGACGAAGGACAATTCTTTCGATAGACCCGAGTTCGCTTTCACACCGAAAATGTTCTTCTTGCCGTTTCCAGTCACGAAACTCAGCTTTTCCTTCCGGCGATCGTCGTTCTTGGCGTCCACCCAGGTACGGACCAGGTGACCAACCGCCTTGGGGGCTTCGTGGTTTGGGCAGTGCCCCGCGTTTGTGATTTGCACGTACCTATGGACCGATTTTTGTCGTGGATTGTTGCTGCTGCCTGGCCGCTCTTCGAGAGCCCTCAGCATGTTCCTGGCAAAGGCTGGTTTGCACCACGGATCGTCTTGGCCAAAGACCAAAAAGACATCCATACCGGACGGGATTCTTCGCAAGCAATCGCCAAAGTCGGTGCTTCCTTCGCTCTGTAGGGGTGGGGACCACATGATGCTGGCAAAGGCCGCGTGGCCTCCGTTTCCAAGGGTGGCACCACGGATTTGGTGCATCTGTTTCGAACGAAGAACGAGAACGGAACCGAACGAAACAAAACGTTGGACGAACACATCGCACAGCGTGGCATATAAAGAGATACCAAATGGACCGAACTATCGAATGGTGCCATCAACCATGCCAGTACACGTACCAATTCTTCCGTGTAGGCTTCTTTCACTGAGTAGGTTGCTTCCAGGAATTTATCAATCGTGTTCAAATCTCGGATTTGATCAAAGAGATACCGACCGACGGCCTTGGGAATGGCTGATTTTTGTGGTGTGACATCGTTGTTCGACAAAAGGTTTCGTATTTTGTTGTTGTCGGATTTGTTTGGAAAACAAAAAGGTAAGCAGCGCGTATTAAATAGTTCGGTGCAGCGCGGCGCATACCGGCAATATATTGTGTACCATTGAAATTAGCATGTGGACACAGAATTCAGTGCAACAGAATCTCGGTGAGTTTCTAGTCAACTGGTACTAGTGTAGATGTAGAGCATGGAGAAGAATAGACCATGCTCTACTGCATTGCACCACATTAATGTGCGTTGCTGGCAAAATAAAAACTGCGTACCTGGAGCAGGTAGATGTCCGTTCCACCCCGGCAGCTTCGATCCCCACACCGGGGTGGGATTCAGCAAGCAAATGCTGGCTACCAGATCTGGTCTCCGCTGTGCAACGTGCGCCGCCAGGTGCCCACCAACAGAGTTCCCGACTAGGTGCACCTTAACGTCGTTCTTATTGTTACCCTCCACGACCTGTTCTATAAAATCGATAATCTGTTCGCACCACCTACATCCATATTTTTTCAATCAGTATTGTTCCCCCATGGATATAGAATACATGAATCCATTGAGAGCACCCATGCAATCGAAACAGCAGAGTACATGAAAAGAAACAGAATAATTGGAATGATGTTTGTCCTTGGAGACTGAACCGGACTCAACCCAAAAGCGTCAATCGCACAAATAAATTCGAGTCGCCTTTCCTGCGCAATTTTTTAATCGAACTGACTTCGTACTGTACTACGGATCGAACTTACGTGTTGGCGGAGTATTGCAAGTCTTTCTCGTCTTCGCTGGTTCCATCTCTGCAATCCTTCGGCCAGCTTCGCCCCTGTCCCAAATAGTCCAAGCAATAAACGGTTCTTTTGGGAAGTCCTGATTTGCTATCGTTCTCCTCGTCATCTTTGAGCAGTTCCGCGATAAGACGGTGCTGATGGAAGGACCCTACGCCGAATCCATTTAGCAACAGAATGGGGTGTTCTTGATCGTTGTCGTTGTCCTTTTCGCCGGCAGTGGGTGTTGCAACCTCGTAGCCAATATCGTACCTCGATTTGTATTCCCACGTCATTGGCTGGATGGTATAGCCAGATGAGGAATGCTGCTTGGATGGTGGGTTCGCCGTATAGGAATCGCAGCCAACTACCAGATACGACGACGACAGAGCGACATAAAACATCGACAATGCCAACCCAATGCTTCGAAATCTATGGCGACGACGGGAAATCGTTGAAAACATCAAGGGGCGTGATTTCATTATTGCTACCATTTTCGTCGATGAGGACGGAGTGTGAATATGCGTCCGGATTAAGGTTCTTTCCGTACTTTTGTTTGTTCGAGTATCGTACACTGCGCAAGCAATCAGTCCACAAAGAAATGTCGATCCCAGTAGCTTTCGATTATCTTTGGCTCAGATCCCGGAAATGTCAATCGTGTCCTTCTCACAGACTAATGTCTAGATATGACACTCTGTCCGCCTCGTAAATCGTTCCTGTTTCGATCAGAGGCGACAATGATCGAGAGAGTCGCATCGGACAGTTTGGACGGAAATTCGACGGTACCAGTACGAGGATATTAACGTTCTCGAGAATTCAGACCGTAATGTTGTCGAAAATCGAAAATCCAAACGAAGCTTCAATCAAGCAAGTTGTACCAGCATCGGTACGAACGGTACGAGTACCGGTACGTACGGGTCCGAAATTTCAATCACGAAGAAGCAGGAATAAGAAATACACTTACACGTGTAATTCAGTGAGTCGTGGTTGAATACTACAGTACTAGTACTAGTAGTCACTAATCTGTCCAAATTACAGCTTGTACAGGTATATCATAATCCAAGAAATACTTTTTTCTGGAGCTGTAGGACATAGAGCAACTGTTGTGTGCATGCGCCCATCAAGAATATAGAATATGATGGCGCATACTAGTAATGAACAAATACTAGCCATACTACTTCACCAGCTGTTCAAAACAAGAATTAGCAACACTGGTCGTCATTTTTTCATGCTAATGGAAACTTCAATACTCTATTTATTCTCAATCTGTTTTCAGTCAATTATATTTTCCTTTTATTGGCTGAGAACAGTTGGTGAAAAAATTGGGGAATAATTGCGAAGAATTGAGAATTATGTACAGTCGTTGTAGTAGTTCTTGTTCTTCTAGTACTGTTGTTTCAAAAGGTTTTGAAGGCATATTACATGCAGCAGCAGCAAGAGCACCAGTAAAGCAGCACAAAAACACCACACCAAATTGTAAAGCCCAGCAAGACCAGTATCATGACACTAGTACTAGTAGTACTACTAGTAACAAACAATAGCACACCAGCAGTACCACCACCAGCAACAAGAAGAAAGCAATCCAAGCTGAGCTACTGACAAATCAACTCATAATGTTGAAAAATGCAAAAAAATCTGGTGCAGTCAATAGAAACATCAAAATTCCTCCAGAAGTTGAAAACAGACAGGAAGGACTTTTTGTCCAAAAGCTTATTCGCTATAACTTTTGTATTCACTCCTCACATACCACACACGGAGCTAGTAGTAGTACTGGTTGGAACAGTGATCCGTCAAAGAAACTGATACCTGCATCAGCAGAGCACTATCAAAGCTCACAATATGTTCTTTCAACTCTAATGGAGAACAAATTCAAGCATCAAGCAAAGATACATTATTCTCCTTCTTGGTTCTCCACCTACTTGTATCCTCCTCTACTCCTCAAGTAGCACCCTCCTCTTCCTGCTTGTCCTCCTTAGTCTAAGTTGACAACACTTTCAGAGAAGCTTGTAGCAAAAGGGATTACTCTAGAATCCCCCAAAAATTCCCACTGAATGCATAAAACAAGAATCACAGGATGATAAGAGTAAAAAGATGCCACCAAAATCAATACTCAAAACACAACCAGCAAAAGAAGGCTTCTCTAACATTGAGGACAAGAAAGGAGTTATTCTCCCCTGCTGGTTTCTTCTGCATAATGGCATCCTGAAGAAGGAAGTCTTTGAGTTTAAACGGGTGGACAACCATACCTTTATGGTGAAGCTCAAGTGGTCAACCTTCATGCAGAAGGTGTTAATGATGACAAGCTTGGACCTGATTCAAGGGAATCCTATTGTGACAGAATGCTTCCGGTACTATGGGTGAGAATGCTGCTGGACTCAAGGATGAGCTTGGAGATTTCTGGAATCTTGGAAAATTCTCTTTTTAGAAGCCCATGTTGACTACTGGTGATGACCAAAAAATCAAAAAATTATATTCAACCTCGTGAACTAGAGGAGGCACTATGTGGGCCAAGGCCAATAATTCTCCTGACCAGGGAGAAAATTGTTCCTAGCTGCTCTGAGGGGCAACACCTCCCTCTGAGGATGTTTTGTGGAGGTATGACCAGGTTCCATGCATACTGACAAACCCATTAAGGCAGGTTGCTAGGATGGGTGAGAGCCATGCTGTGATCATTTCAAAGTGTACTGCCAAGCCAAAAGGCAAGACAAAGTATGCAATGAACAAGGAAACAAAAAACAGGTACCCAGCACACTGCCAAGCCAACAAAGGCAAGCTCCTTGTAGTATAAAGACACAGGTGATGGAGTAGTCATTAAAAATAAAAAAAGAGAAGCCAAAGAATTACAGCAAACTAACCAGCTTGATCTTGGTGTAGTTGATTCTAAATAGATGTGGATATCATCCAGTTATTGTGTGGAGGTGGAGGTGTTGGAAACAATAGCATTGTTACTGGAAGATACAGCTTATAGTCTAGAAAAAGAACTGAGAATGGGTACAGTATCACTGCAAGGTTGGATACTGGGGCTTGGGTTGTTGATGTTGCTGTCTGGCAAAAATATTGGAAACAACAACAACACAAAGAACTGGGCCAGAGGGGAAAGATGCTGATCTCATCAGCATCAGTTTGGTTGGATTTCTTCCATAGGAGCTTGTTGAGTTGTTGTAGATGCATTCAACAGAAATGTCAGAGACAACAGCATTGTGAGCAGAATCACCTTCCAGTTGGGAAAAAGAACTGGGACCTGGAGGAGAGGAGGCTGGAGAATCTTCTTTTTAAAATGAGAAATATGTAGTAGCATATACTCCAGTTGGTGTTCTTCAAAGGAACACTGGGTTGGATACTTGGGCAGGGGTTGTTGTTGTTGTTGCTGTTCAACACAAATGTCAGAATTAACAATATCAGGACCAGAAGACACTGCTTCCACTTGGAACAACAAGAACCGGGGCAACAAGCTGAGGCTGCTGGGGAATCTTCTTCAAACTGAGTATGTAGCTGCTCCAGGTGATGCTCTTCAATGGAAATGTCTTGATTGAGTACTGGGGGCTTGGTTTGTTGTTGCTGCTGCTGCTGCTGTTGTTGTTGTTGTTGTTGTCGTTGCTGCTGTTGTTGCTGCTGCTGCTGCTGCTGTTGTTGTTGTTGTTGTTGTTGTTGTTGTTGTTGGACACAGATGTCAGACACAAAAACATCCTGACCAGAATCATCATCTGGAAGCACAGGGGATAGATCCAGCTAAGGCAAACTGCAAGCAGCTGGTGGGGGATACTGAGGAAGAATGATACTGATCTCATCAGTTTCATCATCTTGGTTGGATTGCTTTTATGAAGTCTTGGGTTGGTGGTGTTGCTGCTTTCCAATGCAAATGCCAGAAACAACAATATTGTGACTGGAAAATGCTGCATCTGATCTGTAGAAAGGAAAATACTAAAACTGGTGCATCAAGCTGAGGCTGGGGAATCTTCTGTAAACTGAGTATGTAGCATATACTCCAGGTGCTGTTCTTCAGCAGAAAGGCCTTAGTTGCACACTGGGGCTTGGGTTGCTGTTGCTGTTCACAAATGTCAGAAACAACAACTTCAAGACTGGAAGATACATTACTTCTGGAGGAACAGGGGATGAATCCAGGTGAGACACACTGACAGGTGGGGGCATGGGAGAAATAATGCTGATCATATCAGTGTTATCTTGGTTGCTGGATTCCTTTAATAAAGACTGGGGGGGGGTTCCCTTTGGAAGGGGGTGCCACCATTGTCAGATGCAAGATGGTGCAGATCAGGTATGTGTGTATTTTGTAGGAATCAGTAGAAAAATTAGGTGGTAGTTTTCAGAACCAAAGTTTAAGTTTGTGCCTTTGACAAAAATTGTTTTGAAAATTATGACTGCTGGTGATGACAACTACAAGGTCAAGGTCTTTAATATTATCATATGCAACAAGCAAGGAAAATAGGTGATGATCCTCCAAGTAATCTTGAAAGAAGAACCAGAGCTGAAGCAAAAGGTCAAGACCCCTTCTTCAAAGCAGGTGAATATGGTCAATGCTTGTCTTCAATTCAGGAAGTGGTTGTTAACAACTTCAAAGAAGTCTACTGGTGCCCAGTGCACCAGTCATCCCTTGTCTGCAGCAGCAGGAGACAGTGGTCCTGCAAATAAGAAAACAAAAACACTCACCTGATTCATCTACTACTGCTACCTCTGCTGCTGCTTCTTTATCCTCATCTTCTTCTCCAACTATGCCACAGGCTGAGCCCCTTCCAACTTCTCCTCCTTCCTCCTTTTGATTAGGATACTATGAGAGTAGTAGCAGAGAGGGAGAGGAAAATTTATTTGTCTGATGACTCATTTCCAGACTCCAGTAGTACCTAATTGATAGATACTAATGGAACCCAAGGGGTATCTAGACAATATTGAGGACAACACCAGTAATTAATAGTAATTAGTAGTGAATTAGTATTTTGATATCAATTCACCAGTACTCCTCCCACTACTAGAAGTAGCCTGATTGTAGTCAGCACCATAAAGGGGACTGCTGGGCATGCAATGTTGGCTGCTGATGCCACCACTGCTGCTGTTCTCATAGAATTAGCTTGCATTGTAGTCAAGATCATACATTAACTTGGTGGAAAGGAATTTCAGCTGTGTAATTATTGCAGCAACACTGAAACACTTGCCATGCCTCTCCATCATCTCATGCCTTGGACTGGTATTCAGAAATGAGTTGTCAGCACATTAAATTGCTTCAGCCTAAAATTTACATTCTTATAATTTTCAAAACGAATTTTTTCAAACGCACGAAATTACACTTTGGTTCTGAAAATTATCACTTAGATTCTTACTGATTCCTATGTACATACATCCCYGACCAAGGCCTTCTGGCATCCAAACCACCATGGTGACATCCCCTTCTGAAGGGGGAATCCTCCTCCCTGGCCTSCATTCAAGCAATCTAACCAATACTATTACTTAAATTGATATCATTCCCCTGTCCCCAGCTAGTGGCAATTTGCGCCAGCTGGTGGATCCATCCCCAGTTCTTACGGCCGGAAGCCCCAGTGTTTTTTGGTCATGACATTGTTGTTTCCAGCATTCATGTTGGACAGCAAGAGCAACAAGAACAACCCCAGTTCCCAGTTTTCCACTACTAAGACCCATCCTTTTAAGAACAATCCCTGGAGTCTATGCTACATACTCAGCTTAAACAAAGATTCACCAGTATCTCCATGCAGTTCCAGTGTTTATTTTCTGGAAGCACYGTATCTTCTGGTCTTGAAGTTGCTGTTTCTGGCATTTGTGCCAGACAGCAGCAGCAACAACCCCAGCCCCCAGTATTCAGACTGGACATTCCAGTGTTTTCTGGTCATGATGTTGTTGTGTCCAACACAAGTGTTGGACAGCAACAACAATCCTAGCCCATTTTGGGCCATACCATCACAATGATGCTGATCAGTAGCACCTTTTTCCCTATCCATCTCCAGTTCTTACAGACTGGAAGCCCCAGTGTATTCCAGTCATGATGTTGTTGTTTCTGACATTTGTGTTGGAAAGCAGCAACAACAAGCCCAGCCCCCAGTATTTAACCAAKACCTGTCCTYTGAAGAACAATGCCTGGAGTATATGCTGCATACTCACTTTAATGAAGATTCACCAGCACGGACCAGAAGAAGATTCTGGTCACAATGTTGTTGTTTCCAGCATCAGTGTTGGATAGCAACAACACCAACCCACCAAGCCCCCAGCATTCACCCAAAACCTATCCTTTGAGGAACAATGCCTGGAGTATATGCTACGTACTCATTCAATTCACCAGCCCTGGCTCTGTGCCCCTGTTCTTTTGAGACCCAAAGAAAATTCCAGTCACAATGGTGTTGTTTGTGACATCCGTGTTCGACAGCAACAACACCAACCCAAATTTCATTCACGCAATCCAATAAGATCATGATGCTGATGCTCTCAGTATCTTCAGTATCTCCAGTTACTCCACCAGCCGGCACATCCATTTGTCTCAGCTGGCTCCATCCCCAGTTCTTACAGACCAGAAGACAATTCCAGTCACAATGATGTTGTTTCTGACATTGGTGTTGGACATTATTCAACCAAGACCTATCCTTTGAAGAACAACACCTGGAGTATATGCTATGTCATACTCAATTTTAAAGAAGATTCACCTATTATCTACATGCACTTCCAGCATTTTATGGACTAAAAGAAGATTCCAGTCACATTGATGTTGTTTCCAACATTTGTGTTGGACAGCAACAGCAACAACCCCAGACTATTTATTCAACCAAGACCTATCCATTGAAGAACAACACCTGGGGTATATGCTACATCATACTCAGCTTTAAAGAAGACTCACCACCTGCCTTATCTCCAAGCCAGTTCCAATTTTATTTACAGACTGGAAGAAGATTCTGGTCACGATGTTGTTGTTTCCAGCATTTATCATGCTGGACAGCAACAAAGACACCCCAAGTTCCATCAAGCAATCCAATCATGATACTGATGCGCTCAGTATCTCCAGTAACTCCACCAGCTGGTGCATGCATTTGCCTCAGCTAGATCCTCCATCCTCAGTTCCAAAGGACTGGAAGCCCCAGTGTTTTCTGGTCATGATGTTGTTGGTTCTGACATTTGTGTTGGATTACAACAACAACCACCACCTCTTGCACTGCAACCGCAACAATTGACATTTACCATCAGCATTTAACCTCTACCTCCAAGGGTTTTTTGGGGGCCAAGAATATCAAGTAGTGTTTGTTTCCTTTTTCGGCTTTTCTTTTTGACTTTTTTCTTTTTTTGACCACTCCATCATCTGTGCTTTGTACACTGTGAGGGAGCATGCCTTTGCTGGCATGGCAGTGTGCTTGACACTCATTTCCTTGATCACTGTGGTTTGACTTGCCTTCTGGCTTGGCAGTGCACTTTGAAATGATAATGGCATGGTTCTCATCAATCAAAACTGTGAACCAACTCCTTTTATGTCCTCTGAATCCACCCTCAGGCCTTCATTGGCCTGTCAGTGTGCATGAACCTTGGTGGTGCCTCCACAAAACCTCCTTGGAGGGAGATGCTTCCCCTTGGAGCAGCTAGGAGCATTTTTCTCCCTAGTCCAGAGAGGCTCTGGTTCTGCCCATATAGTGCCTCTTCTAGTTCACAAGATTAAATATTTTTAATTTTTTTCATTTACATTCTTGTGTCTTCCCCAGAAAACAATCTTTTCTTTCTGTATCTCTGGAGTCATTCCCATCCAAAGCGTCGTCATTTTTGAATCCCTTTGTGTCCCCCATCCACTTCAACTTCTTCATCTTTGGAAAGCAAGCAAGTCAGTCTCTCCCTGAACATTGCTCCATCATTGGTGCTTGCAACATATGGGCCATTGACCAAAACATTGCGTCCAGTTGCAATACAAACAAACATTGTACATCAAGCCTAGTCTGTTCAGTTGCTCTGAGTAGTACTTCATATCAAATGGCCAGGGTTCAAATATCAGGCAATGTGTTTCCATCTACTGATATGAGACAAGTTGCACTTGTTTTCTTTCCAAGTCCATCAAATCAATGATCTAAATCAATAATGYCATCCCTTGAGCTATTTACTTTTTCAACAAAGAACCAGTCCCATTTCTGTGACAACGTCTTTGAAAGACATCCAACAAGGGAAGTGAGAACCTCTTCTGAGGAGTAGACCTTGAGGAAAACAAGTAAGTGTATACAGCAAGTGCTTACAATCAACTTCAGTCTTTTCCTTCTCAGTGAGGAGTCCTCCCTCCCAGATGTGGTTCCAAATGTCTGCAATCACCTTGCACATAGCTTGAGTTCCACTTCCTTTCTTGTGGTCATTGGATTGTATCCCTGATCACTTCTTCAATCCATTTCTCTGATAGCTTCATTGCTCACAATATTGGGTGCTGCTAAAACTGCTGGTAACGTTGCTGGAAGCTCTTGCTGTTTGCTGTTGCTAAGACATTTCATTTTTAAAAAGTGAGAAACAGGAATTGATCAAGAATAGATCAGGGAATGTGCAATTTATTTCCAAAGTATTCTTAATGAATTCTGGATTCATTCTTAATCTATTCTTGAACTAGTAGATTTGTTAACATTTACTATCAAAATATGCTCAATATTAGTAGGGCAATTTGAWTGATTCTTTTATATTATTGATCTTGATTAATATTATTTGAATATGATATGCCTCATAGTGTCATATCAGGAATAAGAAAAGAATAAGAAGCATTCAACTAGGCCTATTTTTTGAATATCAATATGATAATACCATCAGTTGAGTTCAAACAGGCATTGTGATATGCTGCTAGTACTATTTGGACATGATAGCTAAGAGTGACACATCCTCAAGGCTGTATTTCTCTTGTTCAGTATGGAGAACTTTATTGTATTAGTCATTCAATGCAAACTTTAGATACTGGGGACCAATTGTGAGTCCCTGGGACTGAACCTACATAAAGGGTTTTGTCCCTACACCCTAGTATATACTCGTCCTAAAAAAATCTCAATATTCTTATGTTTAACCTCGTGAACTAGAAGAGACACTACATGGCCAGAACCATGGTCCCGGGGGTGAGGTATGCTCCTAGTCGCACCAAGGAGCAGCACTTCCCTCCAAGGAGTTTTGGTGGAAGCGCAACCATACACCCTATATACTCCTATATATTATATATATTATATATTATATACTTACAGCACTACATACTACATGACTATATGAGAATATCAAGAATTCCTGTTTGTGACAACAGCCCTTTCCAACAGAACCAGAACAGAACTTCTAACCAATACATCAACAAGAAGTTCTGTTCTAGAGCCCCCCTGTAGGATCACTACTAGGATTTACAGGGAACAGGAGCAACGGAAAGCAGTTTATCATCCTCTACACTAATAACAACACAGGAAAGCAGCAGATCTAGACTTAATGATTCATTATGATTCAGTTTACCATACACTATTCAAATTATCTAGTACACTTTATTTTGTGAATTAGAGTTCCTTGTGTTAATAGAGGATATTTCCATGAGTAAAAAATAAATCAATTTTTATTCACGTGTATACACATTTGTAGTCCTCTCCAGTACTGATTCTACATGTTCTACACAGTCAGCATTTGTGGAATCCAACTACCAAAACCATTAAGAACTGAAAGCGGAGACACATATACTACAGGACCAACAACAAAAGCAGGCAGGTTACTACAAGAATGATACATATACTAGTGCTCAACTGGAGGAAGTATCATTTATTCTTGATGCCCTGCTCTTGCAATACTAGTAGTTGCTCTAGTACTTCTTCCTCTTGTTCTTTCTACTAGTAGTAATAGTACTGCATGGCTCCAAAGGGGGGAAAAGAACTCATTTGTTCTGTAAAGTATTGAAATCCACCATCCTGTTCAAGGAAATAAGAATATTGGCAAGACTACCTCCTTGTACCCTTTTGGGTCCAAATTACAACATGACAGCATTTTAACAGTGGTATTAATTTTACAGTGCTCTGTGCATAGAACAATAGTCCTAATTCTGACCAGCACAGGCAAGCTGTCAATATTAAAAAAGAAACTATTTTATATCAATTTTGAGGAGTCGCTGATACAGAGGAGGCTATGCAGAGGATGCTGATATGGAGGATGCTGATATGGAGGATGCTGATACGGAGGCTTGTTGATAGGGAGACTCACTGATTTGGAGGACGCTCGCTGATATGGAGGATGCTGCTACAAAGGATGCTGATACCAACAAGCCAGACAAGATTTTTTGCTGGTGTTTCTCTTGTAACCCACTTGGTTGATGGATCCACAACTTCCAGATCCTTGAGCCCTTAATGTAGTAAGGATTAGAACACTTGTCTTGTGAGCGTGATTGGTTGCATATTGATGAAGAACTAAAGAGGTGACACCAGCTTGCTCTGCTGGAGGTTGTCTTAATGAGTTTTTTTTAATTTTCAGTGTGAAGAGAAATCAACAAGCTTGAAAAGGTTCTCTAGCAAGAAACTCATACAATAYGCACATGTACCATCAAAAGACAAGAGGAGAAAACACTTTCCGACTGACAGATTCTCTAATTCTGATTGGTGGTGCTTTGCTAGCTTGTTTAACAAACAGGCAGAGACAGCTAAAAACTGGTTCATTTCATTGTACTCATAACATGTTAGGAATCAATAGTAGTCTTATTTTGAACTCAAACAAGTACGGTACTATAGGGGACGCATTAGAACAAAAATGGGACATGTTGATTAGTATCACATTCTGTTACTGTTTGTACCGGTATGTTATTTTGCCGTTATAAAGTGGAAGTACGGTAGGTACAAACGTACGACTGCAATCATTCTTGTATTAGTATGAAGATCTGCTGTGATACACGTGCTGGTTCAATCGTGGGCTGCGACATATTTAAGTGTTACCACCAAAGAATTCGTTCCTTGTTTCCTACCGGTAAGTTCAAGAGTAATCACAGTCCTGTATTAAATTAGATGATGTACCGTAAAGTACTACGTACTACGTACATCACTGGGGCCGGCAAATGTTTCTGCCAGTACGTACCGTACGGTATGGTACAAAATAATGAATGCTCTGTGCAGTTTTCATCGAAGCGATCGTACGTACTCGTACTTTCTCGTAGTCAAACTGTGTCGAAATGGTCCATACGCATGGAAAGGCTTGTCGGGTCTACGAGAAAGGTAGGTACAAGTACGAACGAGCTAATGTGACAACTTGGCGGTGTAAACATCACAAAAAAATTACTTTCTTTTCTGAGACAACACAAAATCAGCCACCGTCGTAAAAACACCGGGATCATCATTATTGAAATCGTAACCACACAATACAGACAACAACAACAACAACAACAACCCCACCAATAGCACAAATTACATCGAATCTTTTCGCTAATTTCAACATGGGTACTACCATAATCTTCCACATCACCTTGGACTACCTAGCCATTTTGGTCGCATTTTCGTTTCTTTTCACCCCTGTCCAATCAATGGAGACTCCAAATGGATATCTGTGCAACCTTTGCTACAGCCGTGAAAACGAATATCACTACCCACCACCATCGATCGAACAAAAAGTTGTTCGGTTCACGTCACCGATATCATCAACCGCGGCAAAATMTGAACAACAAGAAAGAGAAAGCACCACTGTCACGTCGATCAATGTAGCCTTTGGAATGCCCTGGGATATTGGAACTACTTGTATAGATGTCTGGAATAAGGTCCTCGATTATAAAAATCCAAACATCGTTGACGAGTCCTCGTGCAGGAGCATGGCTGCGCTCTTCGCTCCGCAGTGCTGCAACCAACACGAACACGAACGCGAACGCGAAGAAGTCAGTGTGAAGGAAGCGAGCTTTACTGGGTTGGAAGAAAACAAAACCCAGACAGAACTACGCGAAAGCATCGGCAGCGATAGCCATAACTTACAGCGACGCGGACGAAGGGCCGCCGCGACCTCTTACAATCTCCGGGGGTATTCCTTAACCGGCTACGAAATAAAACGACGATAAACTTAATAGAATGCATCCAAGGACCAACCAGAAATGGGAAATGAACGAACAGAACAAAACAAAGGGAACCACGACGACCATTGCTACATATCGAAGTCATCAGATGTAATATTATCCCAAACAACATCCTTATGGTTGTTTCGATACCTGCGTCCGGTAGCATTTCACGACTACCATCTGTTCTACTCCATACATTCAATAGAAGAAATGATCTGTACAGTGAATAATAATACGATAGATAAAACACCATTAACTAAAATCGAACTTCTCGATTTGCAGTCGTTATCAAATGTTATTGTTCTTGACACTGGATCTTCGACAGTGGTACTATTCAAATGCGCATACTTTGTCTTGCATGTGCACAAGCAACTGCAAGCAACTGCAAGCAAGGGTACCAGGTACTTAGTATTTAGAAATTTTTCTCCGACTTCAACGTGTCGGACAAGAACATCCACATGAGCGTCAACAACTTCAGCAACGACTACATGGCGTATGCTGTAGCGGGTGCTTTCAATCGTGGGAATCGATGGAATTTTGTTCGCTCAAACTCTACCGTACGTACTCCCATGGTAAGTACCGTACTCGTAGTGATCTTTTTGTGTGTTTGTTGTTGCTCAAGTTTGTCTAGGATCAGGAGCTAGGAGAGAAAAGAAAGCATTGCCATAATGTGTTGTGTGGGTACCACCAGTTTAGTTGCTATAAAATTACACCTATCATCCATGATTTTTGGCCACCCACTACTGTAACTTTGGCTGACTAGTTCTAAGCTGCTAGAGCATCCTCCTTTGGCTTCCCAATGACATTCTTCTTGATCTTTGAATAATTATAGCAACTTGGACAGGGTGCTTAGTCTGGTGGTCTAGAGTTGTTTTTTGATAGAGTTCTGGCCTATTTTCTAACCAATAGCCTGTCTCCACTGGCCAATTTTGGCCATACCAGCTCTTAATGGAGAGCCAGCTCCCCCCTGCTGGCAGGGTCTAATCATGTAACAATGACACAAATCAAAATTGTAAACTCAGGAATTCCGACTGAACACTCACACCACATTGACATACCCTACTTTGCGATACAAGATTGGAAACGCGACTTATACATCAAGATGCACCAGTTCATCAGCAGAAAAATTAACCCGGCAGATGCTCTCACTAAACCTCTTGGTTGGGTCCTTCACAATTGCCACATACGCTGACTCTTCAGGCATTTTGCCATTGTTCCACCCAACTGATATCCTCCTTCCTCGTCATTTTTTCTATGATCTGCTMACTTTACACATCACAGATCATGGGATGGTGCTGTCTGTAGGATATCAGATCGTGAGTATGATTCATATCTACGACACATACATATGACACATATATATGATTCATACACATCATACATATATGACTCGCTCTATCCAATGGATCCATATGATTGACATGACTTAGTTGATTCACGAGCGCGAGTGACTCAACTCATTTGATCCACACATCACTCGATCTTCTTCATTCTGATCAGTTTTAGATTTCATAGTTCGCCGATCCTTGATAAGAGCATCGACTCACTTTTCTTCAGCAACAATCTTCTTCTTAACACTATGACCAAGCATATYGCCAAAGGGAATCTCATTACTAGAGGCCTTTCTAGAGCTATTGTGCTTAGCTTATTGAACTGTTTGGGGTCCTCAAAAGAGTGACCAAGAAATACCAGTAGATCTATGTAGGATCTGGTACTCAAAAAAATGGGTTTGAAAATAAATTGCAATTGTAAGTAGTACTACTAGTAATAATTTTGGWGTTTTGAGTAGAATGCCTTTTCCCCCTGTAGGACATGGTAGGATTCTATGATYAATGATTATATCAACTAAACTGGTACAGGTTTAGGTTCAAATTAAGACTACCATATTCTAAGAGGTTATGAGTATTGCAAGAATGCGTGGTTTTCAACAAGCTCATTTAATCAACCTTGTTATCATAGCAAGCTGTCACCTCTTCAGTTCTTTATCAGTTCTTAACCAATTGTGCTCAGAAGACCAGTGGCCCCACAAGACATGAATCATCAGCAATGGTTGTGTTGGTAACATTTACCACCAGTGCTCCTTGAATTCATGGAGTTTGTACACAATAGACAACAAGGTAATAYGGGGACAAATAATACATCATATTCCCCAGTGATACTCTGTTTGATCCTGAAGAGCTGAGCCACAAAACACCAGATCATCTACAGGTTCTTCTTTGTAGTAAAGAAAGCATATGGGCATGATAATCCAGATATCAATGGTGGGGATCAACCTACTGAAGGCTGACCTACAACCCTTCTCTACTACAGGAAAGTGCTATCACATTTCATGGCGGGGATCATTAGTAAGTGAATGATCTAGTAATTGCTGCTTTAGCAAAGAACAAAAAGTAACATAACTCCAAGAAATGGAAAGGAGATTGGACAGAGGACCTCTAGTAACAAAGAGAAGGTTTTTCCAAACACTTGAACTATAGGAGGAGGGGATGCAAGAACAAACTGACTAATTAATCAGTTGAGATCTTTATGGGGATCCATACCACCGCCAGCAAGAGGAGTCATTGAAATTTAGATGCTTTGTCACTGTTCTTTGTTGTTCCTTATTCCTTGTCTTCTTGCTACCTGTCTCCCCCCTCTATTAAATCAAAGAACACAAGAAATAAAAGAGTATATGTTAATTTCAGGGGAGCTAATTGCTGGTGGTGTGGTGGTAGCTAGTATCTTAAAAAAGCAAAGATAGTGTCAATGGTGGGGGGTGATTGTAAAGAATTACTGTCATGTTTTTTTTGGGCTGCATGAATTGTTTTTTTGCCTTCTTGGGTGTGATTATGTGAGCACTTCCTGTCAATCACCGTGATACTCTCTTGCACTGCACACTGGCTTGGTGCATCTACAAATTATTTCTTGATCCTACACAAGAAAGGCATATTACTACTAAAATTTAATTGGCAATAATTTTAAACCTAGAATTAACAAACATTTGGCCATCCACTACTAGTATGACTTTGACAGACTACTAGTTCCAAGGCTCAAAAGCATCATCCTTGGGTTTCCCAGTGACACCAACCTTCAGGTAATTGTATCATCTTGCAAGAATGGGCACTCAGTCCGGTGGTCTAAAGTTGTCTTTTGATTAAGTTMTCACCTATTTTGTAACACAACCAGTCTGTGAAAACAGCAAAATTGGGTGACACTGTTTGCTAGTAATGGGCTGGAGGCTCACCCCAGGCCTGTAATTGTATAACAATTGCACAGGGAACTCATTAACAGCACCAACAAGTGTTGCCAAATTTTGCTGGTGTCTTCACGAGGACTACTAGTACTACAACAATACTACTASTAGTAGGCCAGAAGAACTTTATCAAAAAACAACTCTAGACCACCAGCCTAAGAGCCCATGCAGTCCAAGCTGATACAATTACCTTGCTTACCTAAAGGTAAGTGTCATTGGGAATACAAAGGATGCTTTGGCCTAGAACAAGTCTGGCAAATTTACACTACTATGACTAGTGGATTGCCCAATTTAGCGTTAATTTTGGGGTTCATTTTACTGTGAATTAACTCGTACAGAACTGGTACCGCACTTTTGCAACCGATATTGCAAAACGTTCAAAATTGGTGCATAACGTACTAAGGCTATAGTACTCTTACTGGACCCACTCTATTTACCACCGTACTCACATGTTCTACATATTTTGTGGTAG